TGCTGAAACCTCGACTCAGGAGTTTCTTTGGCTCTTTTAAATTCCTGAGTAATGCTGGGGCAGTTGTGAGGCTAAGTGGAAAACCTTACAATTTTTTAACCCTAGCTCGCCAGATTCGATGGGGGAGAAGCACCACAGTGCGCTCATTTGCAAGCAGCAGAATATTTTGAGTCAGCAAGGTCAGACTCCGTCAAAATAAGCATCATATTGCAAATGAACGCCTTTCTAGACAGGGTGAGGAAAAACAGCCCGCGAAATTGAACGCGAGGAATGAAGTGAAAATCTTTTAATATTATTTATTTTATTTTATTTTTTAAATTTATATCCCGCCCTTCTCCTTGCGGACTCAGGGCGGCTAACAACCGGATAAAAAATACAAATATCAGACTACAAATTTAAAAGTTAATTAAAAGGCAAATATTAATAATTGGTCTAATTAAAATTATAATTAAAACCCCCTCTAAAAATTTTCCCCTAGGCCAGTCCCGCAAGCTGGAATAACCATGTCTTAAGGGCGCGGCGGAAGGAAGGGAGATCAGGGATCACCCTGATCTCTGGAGGTAGTTCATTCCAGAGGGTGGGAGCTCCCACAGAGAAGGCCCTCCCCCTTGGGGTCGCCAGAGCTGGTCATAGGGTTGCCAGGTCTGCTTCCAAAAAATAGCGGACAAGCGGGAGGGGGGGTTTAAGTAGTAAAAAAAAAGTAGACTGTACAGCTTTAGATTACGTACCATTTCATCATAAAGCTTTTGAATAAAAAAAAATGTCCACTATTTTGTGAAAAAAAAAATAGTGAACATAATGTGAAAAAAAGTGGACTACTGTCCACTCAAATAGTGGACACCTGGCAACCCTAGAGCTGGAAGGGACCTTGGAGGAGCCGACTGTGCTGGTTGAAAAATGTAAAAAAAAACAAAACCGAGGCGTATTCTGAACTGGGAAAGCTGCGCAGTTCCTTTAAATCAGGGCTTACACCTTCTCTCCAAGGCAACTTCAGGCAGTTTGGGCAGAAAAACTTAAAAAGAGGCACAACTGCTAAGCCTAAGAAGCGGGGGGGGGACCGGCAGGGGGGCAGCGAGAGGTGTGGCTGTCGGGAAGGAAATATCGACATCTAAATCGGTCTTCGACGGAGGGGAAGCCACCGCCCACACGCCCCAAAGACTGCCGGAGGTGGCCTTCCGCTCGGGGACGCCGCGCTGGCTCGTTCGCAGCCGCTTCTGCTGAGGAGGCGAGTCCGACGTTGCGGAACCGTCGGAGAAGTTGCGTGAGGCAGCCGGGGGCTTTCGGAAGCTGGCCGAGTGAGTAATAACGCCGGAGGCGTGCCTTTGTTTCCGCGTTTCTTTTAATTCGTTTTTTTTTCTTTTCTTTAAAGATTAAACCTAAATTTAATGAAGCTACCTAGCAACCAACTCGGCGTAGAAAGGCGTTCCGTGTGAGTTGCGAATAAGCCTGCGTTTTTGTTTTATTTTTTATTTTATGTATTGCCCTCTGTGGGGTAACTGGAATTTTAACAGGTGCAGGAAGAAGAAGAAGAAGAAGAAGAAGAAGAAGAAGAAGAAGAAGAAGAAGAAGAAGAAGAAGAAGAAGAAGAGGAGGAGGAGGAGGAGGAGGAGGAGAAGAAGAAGAAAGCAAGAAGATGTGGAAGAAGAAGAAGAAGAAGAAGAAGAAGAAGAAGAAGAAGAAGAGGAGGAGGAGGAGGAGGAGGAGGAGGAGGAGGAGAAGAAGAAGGAAGAAGAAGAAGAAGAAGAAGAAGAAGAAGAAGAAGAAGAAGAAGAAGAAGAAGAAGAAGAAGAAGAAGAAGAAGAAGAAAGCAAGAAGATGTGGAAGAAGAAGAAAGCAAGAAGATGTGGAAGAAGAAGAAGAAGGAGGAGGAGGAGGAGGAGGAGGTGGTGGTGGTGATAATTTAGACCTGAACTGTCCTGTGATGATGTTTAAGTTATATATGTACTGATGATATGAGAGGCATCTAAGGTGACACGTATGAAGAAAAACATGCTAGGAAAATGTCATGTGCCTTTAAATATAATATCTCAAATGTTAAAGGTGAAATGGCGATATTATGCTTTGGGGCATATATGAATTGTGTAGAATCACTACTGCTCCCTTTTATATAGGGACGGGGCTTACAAAGATTTCATTTGATTCACCCATTAAGTGACGAAAGTCATATGTGGGCATGTATGCTCATACATGCTTTGCATTCGTGCAGTGCAGTATATTACATGTAATGCTTTTTGCTGGTAATTTTCATTTAAAGAGTGAACCAACTATGTTGACTAGACTAAGCCCCACCCTATCATTCGGTTATTATGAGTCCTCACATTTCTTGTGATGTGCAAGATGTGATGAATTCATATGCTTTTTTTTTTTGCCAGAAAAAAACACAATAACTTTGCTAATAAAAATATGCCACATCTCTCTCTCTCTTTGGCTGCTGTTCTCCTAATGTTTATGTGTGCATTGGCACAGTGTTTTTTTTCCTGGCTGCACTCATCGCTTAGCAGAGTTAGACTTAATCCTTCTATAAATAGTTTAGACTTTATTCTCAGTTTCTGAAAGAACATGTTAGTTTCAGTTTCTGTTGGTTTCCTGTCCCTGTGATTTGTCTGCATTTCAAGGTCCATTTTTCCTTTAATCTGTTGGACATCAGAGATATGATTGGTTGGGTGGGGAAATTCTCTGGAAAGGGAAAGGAATCTGTAGGCAGGAGACCATTTCAGAATCCTTCACTTGTGTTCTTTGGTGTCTAAACTTAAAGCAGATGTAGAACATGTAATCCTATGTAGTCTGCCCCAATTTGTCACAAATAAGAGATAATCATGTTGCCTGTGCATGCTTACTCCTACAAGAAATGAATGGGTAAAATGCACTATAGTTTGTCTTTGCAATGGGTATTAATCACTGAGAAATTGTGATAGCATTCCTAGAATATTCAAGGGAATCTAAAGAAGCAGAAGAAAGTGGCCTAGCCTATAATCAAGTAATCTAAATAAATAATGTAATCATGAAAGTGGTGAATTAAAATGGAGAAAAAAATATATTTTTTAGGATGAGCTCATTATAAAGATTGCAATCACATCATCATTTTAAGTCAGTGATGGCGAACCTTTTAGAGACCGAGTGTCCAGACTGCAACCCAATTGGGTGGGTGTGGCCCATTGGGTGGGCGTGGCTGCGGTGGTAACAGCAGACTGGGTGGGACTAAAAAGTTCAATCAATCAATTCCAACTTTGCATCCATCTTTTTTTTCCCAGCGAGAAATCGAAATTGACTGATTGAACCTTTTTTTTTTGTTGTACACGGCGGCGGAAACCTAAAGCGAAAATGTTTTATAAAACCCAGCTGAAGGCCTAGGACTGGGGTGACGGCGTGTGTGCCCACAGAGAGGGCTTTGAGTGCCGCCTCTGGCACCCATGCCATAGGTTCACCACCACTGTTTTAGGTCCTCCCCATTCTGTAATTTATTATAATCTGTAATTTCACTCTTCCATGGCAGTCACACTGCTCATTGTTTTGTATTTTAATTTGCTTGAAATCTGGGCACATTAGTTATGGCAAGAAATGATAATCTGTTTCTTCTTTGATACAAAGGTCAAATTGACCTGAATGTGTTAGTTTTCACAATTGTTTCCTTTCTCAGGACAGAATTAAATGTGAATAACAGTAACAAATTTGGAAAATAAACTCTGTGTGCTTTGTTCAAACATTTTGTGGAGTAGTTCTATTTAACTCTGGCTAGCCATGGCATAGATATTGTTTGAAAAGTTACCGAGGTGAATATACCAAGTATGCATTTTTAAGATCAGTTTTATTAGTTAATTTATTAAAACATTTCCTACAGGTGGACTTTTGTTACAGATGTCTAGATGAATATAACATATATCTATGATATATTCAGATTTGGGTGTGCACTTGTTCTTCTGTACTGCTAAGCAGAAGTTTATGTGTTTGATTTACCAAGAGCTGATTCAGCATGATCAGTGGTAAGGGATGCTGATAGTTACAATTTAACAACTTTTATAGGGCTATGAATTCCACAATCTTGCTAATATCCACTCATTTGTGACTGCATCCCATTGAATTTGTGGGAATGACTTCTTTTTAAAACTATTGTATCGTGCCTCTACATTGAAATATATAGGTTCACATAGCAAATCTGTAATCTAGACATTAGGGAGTGCCGAATACACTAAAACCTATGATTTCCAAGTTGCTAGAAAAAGTTCTAGCTATTCTCAAAATGCTGTTGCAGTGTGCCTGTTCATAATATAAATCTCTTGGGTTGTTTAGCTAAAACATCTGAAATTAATAAGCAACTTGATTTAAAATGGGCATGGCAAAACAACCAACCAACTAACTGTGTGGCCTTCCCTTTTACTCAGCCAAGGGAGAATCATGGGATTGTACTTAAATAAACGGAACGCCTCATTTATTTATTTATTTATTTTCATAGATTTATATGCCGCCCTTCTCCCTATAGGACTCAGGGCGGCTTACAGCATATTAAAACACTTAAAACATCATCCCTCCATAAAAACCTGTTAAAAACCAAATATTTTTGTTTCGCTGTATAATTAATTAAAATTAAATTAAGAATTGTCCCTGTTTAAAAATTTCTCCCTAGGCCAGACCCGCTTGTTGAAAAAGCCATGTCTTGAGGGCGCGGCGAAAAGGTAGGAGATCCGGAATCGTCCGGATCTCGGGGGGTAGTTCGTTCCAGAGGGTAGTTCGTTCCATGAGAGTAACCCCATGAATGCTAAGGTATTATCAGCCAAATACTTGGGAACACATCTATGACAGATCTCACAGCAGTTGTAAAAAGGAATAAAGGAATAATTCCAAGAAGAGAAGGAGCATGGTGAGCATCAGAGCAAATGTTCTGGAAATGTAACTTGTTCTGATTAAATGTACTTTTTCTCTGATTTTTCTACTTCTAGGTCAATTGGTGTATGGCATGCAGAGGAGACATCCTTCGTAAAAGGTTCAGATATAAAAGCGTTAAAAAGAAAATGTAAATGTGATATGTCAATCTTTGTCCACAACTGATCTGGATAAAGACCATCAGGATCAAGGAAACTAATCAGGTGCAACAAAATTCCTTTCTTGGGTTCCTTTTGTCCTTTTGCTATGCTTCTCTTTTATTTTCTCATGTGCTCCAGTGTTTAAAGCCAGATATGTAAACTCTGGTTTTCAAGGGACTGGGATTAGGAACCAAAAAAAGAAAATAGCTCTTAGTATAGTTCCTGAAGCTTTGGATTCTCAGATATGGATTTAGCTCTGATTTGAACTGAATAACATAAATGTGCCCATGTTGAATCCACAGCTTTCATAATGGGGTATAAACTATACTGCTCACAAAAATAAAGGGAACGCAAACCCCTTCAGTTCCATGGTAAAATGTTCCCTTTATTTTTGTGAGCAGTATATATTTTATATATATTTGGGTATAAATTATATTTTGTGGTCAGTATATAGTCTAGCTCAGTGGTTTTCAGCCTTTTCTTCACCATGGACCCCCCTTTAAAAATCTTTTGTGGCTGTGTACCATGGTCAGGAACCACCAAGACTTAAGATTTAACATATTAGCCTACTAACATGCATCAAGCTTTTTTGGACCCGCTGTGATGACATTGCAGCCCCCTGGGGGGGGGCATAGATCACAGGTAGAGAACCACTGGTCTAGCTGAATGCATAAGAAATAATGTCCAACTGCCATTAAAGCTACTTCTAGCTCTCTGTGTGATATTTGTAAATATTGACTGCTTTTTATTTTTTTAACCAAATTACTTAAAATTACCAAATGTATTATGTATTATAACATTCTAATCACATTGAATTTTGTTTAATCTTTTAGATAATCATGCTTTTTCCAATTTGGAGTCTTTGTTTTATCTCGGTTGCTGGAGCTAAAAGTCTTTCTGCTGAAAAGATCACTCCGTTTTGTGATGTGGCTCATTGCAATTTTCATAGGAAGAGTCTGCACACAATTCCACTGGGTCTATCAAATGGTGTCTTGGGACTGGACCTGACCTCTAATAGCATTGTGCATATTGGAGATGTTGACCTAAAGTTTGCAGTCAATCTTAGAACACTTTTGCTTCAATCTAATTCAATTCATACAATTGACGACCATGCCTTTGACTTCCTTGGAAAGCTGGAGCATTTGGATTTATCATGGAATAACCTGACCTACTTGTCACCGTCTTGGTTCAGAAATCTTACTTCTTTACAGACTTTAAACATAAAGGGGAATTCCTACTTGAAACTCGGCAAATTTCCATTATTTTCTGGCTTACAAAAGCTAAGATATCTATACTTGGGAAACGATAAATTCTCTACTTTACAGACAAAAGATTTTGAAGGAATTTCAGTTCTTGAAGAACTGGAAATTGAAGGACAGAGTCTTCAGCAATATTCACCAGGAACTCTACAATCTCTTGAGCGCATAAATCACATTATTTTGAATGTAACTGTCAACTCCAGATTGCGTCAGATTTTAAATGATGTTAAAAACTCTGTGGTGTTTCTTGAACTGAGAAATATACACCGTAACCTCTCACCCCTTATCCGTTATTTCAGAGAGATTCCAATGATTGCTCAAAAGCTTGNTTTAACATCAGATTCATTTCTTTAGCATCCAAATCTCCCATGATACCTAATAGAAATAACTGCGGTGTAAACTTTATCTTTTTCTTAAAAATATTTTGAATATTCCACCAAACCTTGATCCAAAATGCTTTTATTTCCCTACACGTCCACCAAATATGAAAATAAGTTGCATCTAAACTTCCACATCTCCAACATTTGGTTTTCAGTCTTTTCTTCACCATGGACCCCCCTTTAAAAATCTTTTCTGGCTATGTACCATGGTCAGGAACCACCAAGAGTTAAGATTTAACATATTAGCCTACTAACATGCATCAAGCTTTTTTGGACCCGCTGTGATGACATTGCAGCCCCCTGGGGGGGGCATAGATCACAGGTAGAGAACCACTTGTCTAGCTCAGTGGTTCTCAACCTGTGGGTCGGGACCCCATTTGGGGTCGATCGACCATTTCATGGGGGTCACCAAGCAAGGCTGTCCGCCATTTTTTGTCCGCCATTTTTTTTGTCCACCATTTTTTCCCCCTTTTCCGGCGGGTGCCTTACCTCCCTTGGGCTGGGCCAGCTGGTGGTAGGCCTGCTCCGTCTCTGCCGCTTGCCAGCTACGCCTCGGCCGGCGCAGGGGGCGGAACCACGCATGCGCGGCGCTCCCGGGCAGGGAAAGTCCTCGACTTATGACCGGTTGGGTAGTCCTCGACTTACGACCAGTTTAGTCCTTGACTTACGACCGGTTGGGGTCGCGGCATTAAAAAGGTTGAGAACCACTGGTCTAGCTGAATGCATAAGAAATAATGTCCAACTGCCATTAAAGCTACTTCTAGCTCTCTGTGTGATATTTGTAAATATTGACTGCTTTTTATTTTTTTAACCAAATTTCTTAAAATTACCAAATGTATTATGTATTATAACATTCTAATCACATTGAATTTTGTTTAACCTTTTAGATAATCATGATTTTTCCAATTTGGAGTCTTTGTTTTATCTCGATTGCTGGAGCTAAAAGTCTTTCTGCTGAAAAGATCACTCCATTTTGTGATGTTGCTCATTGCAATTTTCATAGGAAGAGTCTGCACACAATTCCACTGGGTCTATCAAATGCTGTTTTGGGACTGGACCTGACCTTTAATAGCATTGTGCATATTGGAGATGTTGACCTAAAGTTTGCAGTCAATCTTAGAACACTTTTGCTTCAATCTAATTCAATTCATACAATTGACGACCATGCCTTTGACTTCCTTGGAAAGCTGGAGCATTTGGATTTATCATGGAATAACCTGACCTACTTGTCACCGTCTTGGTTCAGAAATCTTACTTCTTTACAGACTTTAAACATAAAGGGGAATTCCTACTTGAAACTCGGCAAATTTCCATTATTTTCTGGCTTACAAAAGCTAAGATATCTATACTTGGGAAACGATAAATTCTCTACTTTACAGACAAAAGATTTTGAAGGAATTTCAGTTCTTGAAGAACTGGAAATTGAAGGACAGAGTCTTCAACAATATTCACCAGGAACTCTACAATCTCTTGAGCGCATAAATCACATTATTTTGAATGTAACTGTCAACTCCAGATTGCGTCAGATTTTAAATGATGTTAAAAACTCTGTGGTGTTTCTTGAACTGAGAAATATACACCGTAACCTCTCACCCCTTATCCGTTATTTCAGAGAGATTCCAATGATTGCTCAAAAGCTTGGATTTAGAGATAGTGAATTTTTAGAAAATGAAGTTTTTCCCTTAATGGAAGCATTATCTGATATGAGCCAGCTACAAGAGTTAGAAATTATAGATAGCACTTTACAAGGCACTGGGCATTTCTATACTAGTCGGCGTGTTTCCAGTAATGGACTTATAATAACAATTCGGAATTTAAAAATAGATTCATTTTACTTATTTTCAGATCTTTCATCCATGTGGTATCTTGTAGAGAATATTACCAAACTGTCCATTGAAAATACAAAAGTTTTTCTAGTGCCTTGCGATTTTGCAAAAACATTCCTTTCATTACAGTATCTTGATTTCAATACAAATTTGTTACAGGATATGTCTTTGGATCATTCATTGTGTCCAGGCAGTTGGCCTAAACTGCAGACTCTCAATGTTAGTCAGAATTCTTTGACCCATATTGATAGAACAGCTAGAAGTGTGGCTCATTTAGTCAGTCTTACTAACCTAGATATCAGTCAGAATAACTTGGAACAAATGCCAGAATCGTGTCTTTGGCCAAGAAGCTTGAAATATTTAAACATCTCTGGCTGTAAAGTAGAGAAACTGACAGGTTGCATCCCTGACTCTTTAGAAATTCTGGATGCAAGCAACAATTTCCTCTATGATTTTAAGGTGAGCCTGCCTCATCTTCAGGAACTTTACCTTAAAAATAATAGATTAAAAGTTCTGCCAGATGCTGCCTTCATCCCTCATGTAAATGTTTTGACTATTAGGGAAAACAATGTATTCATGTTCTCTGAGCAGGAACTGGAGACGTTTAGAGAACTGAAGATGCTGGATGCCCGTTATAACAGCTTTCAGTGCAAGTGTGAATTTGTTTCCTTTGTACAGTCTTATCCAAGAAGAGATAATATCTTTATTGGTTGGCCTGAAAATTACATCTGTGATTCTCCAGATTATGTAAAAGGGCAGCAAATCGGAGTTGCCCAGCTACAACTGACTGACTGTCATTTCACTTCTTTTGTGTCCATCCTTTGTATTCTGATCATCCTGATCATCTTGGTGGCAGCCTTTCTTTGCTACAAGTTTCATGTCATCTGGTATATCCGCATGACCTTAGCCTGGCTTAAAGCAAAACGCAAGCCTCAAAGGACCCATGACCAGGCAGTCTGCTATGATGCGTTCATTTCCTACAGTGAACAAGACTCTGAATGGGTGGAAAATGTTATGGTCCAGATGTTGGAGCAAGCAAACCCTCCATTTAAACTGTGTCTTCATAAAAGAGATTTTATGCCTGGCAAATGGATTGTAGACAATATTATTGACTCCATTGAGAAGAGCTCTAAAACCCTTTTTGTGCTTTCGGATAATTTTGTACGGAGTGAGTGGTGCAAGTATGAATTGGATTTTTCTCACTTCCGTTTCTTTGATGAGAATAATGACACAGCCATTTTGGTCCTCCTGGAACCTATTCCAACAAAAACAATTCCGGAAAGGTTTTGCAAACTCCGAAAATTAATGAATACCAAAACTTATCTTGAATGGCCAAGTGATAAAGATCAACAGCAGTTATTTTGGTTTAATTTGAAAATGGCAATAAAAGCTTAGCTGAGAAGTTGGTATAATAGGCCATTTCCATTAATTTTAGCAGCACCTCTGGTGTGAATAATTTGTTATGGTTCAGGATATTCAGTCAGGCCAGTCCATTACCAGGAAGCAAGTAGGCTTCAGAAGTTTGATTCCTTGAACCCCAGACATTCATCATGTAGTTTGACTGCTTTTCTCTCAGCAGAAATATCGGGAACATGCAACACTAGCTCTGTCCAAATTTTGCACATGTATCTCAACTCTTCAGATATTTATGAGAAAGAAGAAATCAGCAGGGGAGTGTGGAGCAGCTAATGTGCTGGAAGATACAGTTCTAGCAGAGTCTTGAGAACCAATTGAGAAAGATTGAAAGAATTGATAGATAACATTTATGGATTGCATTAAGCCACTTTTTGCTTAACTACGCCATATTTAACAAGATTTTATCTGAATTCATGCATCATGCTAAGCTGTAAATCTTGATTTACAAATAATAATAATGATAAACTTGGAAGGGACCTCGGAAGTCATCTAGTCCAACTTCCTGCTCAGGCAGGAAACCCTATACCATTTCGGACAAATGACTGTCCAGTCTCTTCTTAAAAACTTCCAGTGTTGGAGCATTCACCGCTTCTGGAGGCAAGTTGTTTCACTGGTTAATTGTTCTAACTGTCAGGAAGTTTCTCCTTAGTTCTAGGTTGCTTCTCTCTTTGGTTAGTTTCCACCCGTTGCTTCTTGTCCTGCCTTCAGGCGCTTTGGAGAATAGCCTGACTCCCAGTAAGCCAAACCCAAGGAAACTGCATTATGTTTAGTGTGATGTGTCCACTGAGTTAACTTAGGTGTGACAAGCAAATGAGGCCAGCAGGGGAACTAACACAGATAGTTTTCAGTCATGATTAATTATAAAAAATAGCATCTGTTACATTCAGTGTTGAACAAGAGCATATACTATATGATCGTTTTTTGTTTAAATATTAAACAATAAGTATAAATATACTGTAACTTAAGTCCTTTTAGAGCTTTTCTATTTTATTTTTATTTTTTTTAGGATTTGGTTGTTGCTAAGAGCAAACAACCACTTGCTGGCACATAATCAATCAGTCAATTGCTAGATAGCATTTTATTGGTTTTTATTATCTTTCGAAAACTCCCTGGAGCCATTAGAGATAGGCAGCATAAATATCAGTTAAATACATAAAACAAATAAGTTGTTTAGTTGAACGTATTCTAAGATGATCCATAAGCTAGACTTCATGTCGTCTTCACTATCTGAGAAAATGTTCAGCACATTTGCATTAAGCTTCATTTATTTTTCGAAGGGCAAAAAGGCATTTCCTGGAATTATTTTAGTTTACTGATTGTAACATATGAAAAATGTATGTTCTGATAAAATTTTGTACTTACTGATTTAAATAAATATTTGGTACTTCTATATTTTAGCTATTCCTTTGGATCATCAAGAGATAGGATCCATAACACTGTTAAGCTAAAACACAGGGCTGTATCTAGTTTCCATTGGAGTCAGCCATTCAGTGCTTTCCACAGCCAACTTCTGCAGAAATAAAAATCTTTTAAAAATGACTTCTGTGGGAGTTAATTAAACTAAAATTAAATATGCCTTCTGGTGTTGTCCATTTATGGTAATTGTGTCTTAGAAGTGTGCAAATTCTCTTGATTTCAATAGGAGTGGAGTGCATTTAATTCCATGGAATTGTGCCCATAGTTAATTCTGACAAGGGCAAAACATTTTGGCAATGCTAAGAATCATATAGAAAAGCTGACAAGACATTTATTTCAATGTAGGATATTTTCAACATCTGTTTATTGAATTGTGATTGTCGACGTTTTTAATCTTTGGTGGTCTGACCACCACTACCCAAACCCTTGCAGAGAAAGGGGGAAAAAATTAAAACTGCTTAGGATTACCTGCAACCTGGCATGTAGATTTCAAAAGAAAAAACTATAAAGGAAGCCACAGAAAGGCGGAGGGTTCTTGATTTGGCAGGAGATGCTGCTGGAGTGAGAGGCGACTGGATGAGGCATGGATTTGAGGAGGCACGGCTGGGAGAGGCAGAAGGCAGACAATCCACGGCCAGGGTGAAGAACTAGGAAGGAGCCTTAGGGAGCTGAGGCCAAAGAATAACCTGCAGAAAAGAATAGCATGCACACCCTGCCTCCCCCCCCCCAAAAGCCAACAACAGTGCAACTTGAGTCCAGATACTAGTGGGGAAAACTCCTTGTCATTTAGATGTTGGCGATCTTAGCAAAAGAATATTGAGAGGAGAGACTGTTAACACACCTAAGCCTGTAGATAAGTTAAGTGTGGGAGGAGAGAAAAAAATTAACAGAAAAGCCTTTTTATACTGTTGGCTGGGGATGCTAGAAATAGAAAGCTGCATATCTTAATGTTGACCAGTTGAGAAACACTGCTATAATGAAAGTAATAGAAATGTCAGTCATTTAAATTCAATTCTACATATTAAGTTATATTTATGCTTGGTCACTATACACACACACACATATCATAAAGTCTTGTAAATGTACTGTGTACTACAGGTAGTTCTTAAAACTACCTGTAGTACACAGTTCATTTAGTGACCAAAGTTACAACAGCGCTGAAAAAAGCTACTTACGACCATTTTTCACACGCCTGTTGCCGCATCCCCATGGTCATGTGATCAAAATTCAGACATTTGGAAACATTCATATTTATGACTGCATATCCTGGGGTCATGTGATCCCCTTTTACGACCTCTGACAAGCAAAATCAATGGGGAAGTCAGATTCATTTAACAACCATGTTACTAACTTAACAACTGCAGTGATTCACTTAACTGTGACAAGAAAGGTCATAAAATGGGGCAAAAACTCATTTAACAAATGTCTCATTTAGCAACAGAAATTATTGTAAGTGGAGGGCTACCTATACATTTGCACTGTAATAAACCAGTCTTCATTCTGCGCTGAGGTGTGTCTGGCTTCATTCACGTACATGCTCACCATCTTGACAATACTTAAAAGATTCCAAGGAGGTTTATTGGTTTTAATAAGCTCAATAGCAACAGTTTTAATAACTTCTTTGTTGCATGTAAAATAGACAGAAAACTTTTTCCCTTAAGTATAAGTCCTAGTTGGGCCTACTTTAAATAGCAAAAAAAGATTGGACAAGTTCTTTGTTTATATTTAAAGGTCATTTGTTCAAAACAAACGTGTTAGTTTGAATTAGTGTTATAACGTATTAAAGCCACCTGCTGCTTTTATTGGGAAGCCTAATGTATAGATTATTGCTATATTCCACTTTTATTCTTTCATTGCTTTTAATCTGCCTGAAAGAAAATAGCAAGGTGATACAAATTTGTATAACTAATGCTAATCAGTGCGTCTTTATGAGAAAAATACAAAGTATAAAGTTTACATCTGCTATAACAATAAAAGCAACAATTTATAGCTACAAAGTATCTTGTAGATATTTTTTTTTGTCTTTAATTAATTCAATAAACCATTTTCACTGCATTTACAAACCTATATAAAAGTTGTTTTTGTAAATGTGTTGCGAACTATTTTTATAGTAGCTATACCATTGCACTCTAGACAGCAATTAATGAGGGTGAAGGTTCGTTCTCCAAGCTTGTGGGTTGGTTTCTGAACAGGCTAGGTAACTTCTTCAGTGGTGTTTAGGCAATAAATCCTTCAGTGGCTGCCCCATGCTTCATGGTGACGACTCAGGATCAAGGACGAACATGAGAACACCTGACAGACGAGTGTAGGTGGAGCTCATTTCAAGCCAGAGTCAAGCAAATGCTTGGGATGAAAGTTGGTAGTAATAGACAAAGAGGGAGTGTGAAGATATTGAGTCTACAGGCAGGGTGAGATGTGCAAAGTGAGAAAACAGGAATGGAATTACCAGGGAGAAAGTGTGAGATGTTCAACAATGAGTTTGCTAAGAACGAAGAAAAGGACCTGAATAGCAATAGCACTTAGACTTATATACCACTTCATCATGCTTTCTGAGCAGTTTACAGAGTCAGCCTATGGCCCCCAACAATCTGGATTCTCATTTTACTGACTTCGGAAGGATGGGTCAACTTTGAGCCAGTGAGGATCGAACCACTGCCGTCAGCAGAATTAGCCTGCAATACTGCATTCTAACCACTGCACCACCACGGCTCTAAAACAAGGTCAAATTGTCTATGAAAAGAGGACATAACAAAACCTGGTCAGAAGCAAGCAACTAATGCTATGCTATTTACATTCATAAAGAAGAATCTAATTGCATACATCATTGACGGCTGTAAGCCTGCTGTTAAATATTCAGTAATGAAAGTGATGTTAAGTGTTTCAGTATTATACAATGCTCCAGAGTGTTTTCTGAGGAGCTTTGGTAATTAGATCTGAAGAAAAAGCAGTGGTTTTTCAAAAATATAAAGTTTTGGTGAAGTGTAGCTGAATAGGTACAACATTTTTATAACATGCCTGCTTTTGCCATCCACGTTCTATTTTTTTCCTAGAAAGGTCATGTTTACGTGGAATCTGCCTGTATATCACCCATGTGTGGTTTTATTTATGGCCAGTAAATAATTTCATCTCTTCTTACCATTCACCCCCCCCCTTAAAATCTTCCTCTCCTTACTTCTTTCTCAGAACTATGTTCCATGCAAAGTGAGCTGTGATCCATGAATGCTTATGCTATAAGCAAATTTTTAAAGAAAGCTGCCCTACTGAAAGTTTATCTTTTTTTTCCTTTTAAATAACAATTCATGTTCCTGTTTATAGACCACCCAAAGACATTTTCTTTCCTGAACAAAGAATATTGTGGTCATCATCTTCATTTCAAAAAATTAGAAAATCAACTGGACTCACAATTGAACTTCTTATAAGGGACAATGGTCTAGGACAAGAGGCAAGAATGGGCAAGCCATAGGGCAGGGGTAAGCAACCTTGGCTCTTTTATGACACGTGGACTTCAACTCCCAGAATTCCTGAGCCAGCCATGCTGAGGGGAAAGGGAGAGATTTCCAAGCTGAGCCATGCTGGCTCAGGAATTCTGGGAGTTGAAGTCCACGAGTCATAAAAGAGCCAAGGTTGCCTACCCCTGCCATAGGGGATGTGAGGTCACAGCTTCCATTGGAGACTCCCAAAGCACCCTTAAATTGTAGGGTTTGAAAACCATCAGCAACATTATCAATCTTTAGTATCATGATTAGCTTCTTAAGCACTTATAAACTGAGGAGCTCTAAACTGGTTGAATGTCAATTTCAGTTGTGTGATCCTAATATTGCATAGGGATGTAGACAAGATACACTGAATTTGCTGTCCCTATACTTTAATAATGAGATAATAAACATTAACTGAAAAGCTAAGATAGAAACTGGAAAAGGCCTTAAAATAATATTATGCAGACTTCCTCTATTAGTATGAATTTTGACTCCTGGAATCCTGACAATAGATGGAAAATTCTGAGAGCCAAAAGCTGACAGTCACAGAGCTTCCAGGTCAGGAAGAGCAGATGGAGTAGCTCTGAGTTGGTAACTTAAAAAAAACAGAGGGGAAGGAGGAGGGCCACTGGGATTGCAGTAGAACAAAAAACAGTAGAAAGGATGTTTAGTTTATGGCGTTACCTGTTTTCATAACTGTTATCCTTGCTCACTAACTTTAAATGGAAGATACGGTTTGCTGGATTTCAATTCCAATGGTTTAGAAGTATATAACTTCTAATAAGCTAACAATTTATACCAGAATTTGAAACAAGAGTAGTTTCAATTCTTTCATTCTATTTTAGTGAAATTGGCTGAGCACTCAATTTCTTTTAACCAAAAGGAGAACTTTAGGACTTTGACTACCCCCTACTGGATCATTTGTGAGATACAAATGGCATCTTAAAAATGAATTTGTTTTATTACAAGATACACTTTTATCAAACTCTAGAGACTCTTGAAAATCAACACATTTGTTAGTCTCTAAAACAATGTTTCTCAACCTTGGAACGAAGATGTGTGCTATCAACTCCCAATTTCTCAGCATCCACACCTCTTCATGTTGTTAAGATTGAAATACACTGTTCTGAATACCTGCTGGCTGGGCAGATCTGGGAGTTGAAATCCACACATCTTCACATTTTTAAGGTCAAGAAATAGTGCTCTTAAGGATCACAAGACTCTTTGCCTTGCCCCCTACAACAAAGAGCACTGTTCTCCCCTTTGAATATCTATGAGATGCTGCTCTAATAGGCAGCTTAGCTGCTATATAGATAGAAAATATTGTTGGGTTACTTGTGTTTTACTATGACTCTTTTAACATTTAAAAAAAACATTCCTGTTGCTTACAAGAACGAAAAAAAGAACAGGGTTTTTACTTCAGTTGTGCATACTGCCCACCACGTGCTTTCTGCATGGTCCCAGAGATGTACTAGAGAGGGCTAATGGGTAAATGTTTAAATATTTGTATTGGGACAGCTTTCAAGGGATATTTCATGCCAACGTTCTTATGGAGAGCTGGGATTTCCTGCACTACAGCCCTGGAACCCATCAAGGAATATAATTTGAGTATCTATCTTTCATTGCTTATAGAAATGAGCTGAAGTTGCTTTGATTTTCTAAGAGTTGGAATCCCGAATAAAAATCTTTGTAGATTGTATTCTTTGGGTCAAAGGATCACAATGTTTAATACCTGTACTTTGGAAGCAGGAACAAGGACAGTATTGGCTATGAGGATCCATATACTCTACACAGGATACACCCTTAAATGAGTCACATGCAAAAACACCGATCACTGACATTGTGTGAAAGATATTTGATTCTTTCTTTCTAAAATGAATGAAAAGAGTCCACTGCAAAGTAGATGATATACTACCATAAGAAAGAAAAATATGCAGTTGTTCATCACAAGAAAAAGGCTGAAATGAAAATAATAGTGTGCAAATGTAAAAAAAAAAAACCCTGCTGAAAGCATTTTAAACTAAGTTCTTCCCATCAGTACTCTTGAAGAATAAATTTTATCTGTTTTCTTCTTCAAATTGTTGCAGCAGAATTGGGATGGGACAACCAGAATACTGATTCTGTGGCGCATAACACAGACTCAATAAACAGTTACTAAGGAAGTGTGTATGAAAAATCTCCTCTGAAATGATTGTAATTTTTCATGCCGACATATAAAACCTGGCAAATTAAAAGGAAAAAAAATCCTGGAAGAAAGCATCAGTAAACTGCTTCCATATTGCTTTCAAGAGAACTCCATGGACCAGCTACCGGAAATCATATACTCCAAAAACATAAACACATTTTTAAAAATAAAAATGACACTTTACACCTAACTATGAAAAATCTGGAGTGCCGAGTTTACTTCTGAATAATAATAATAATAATAATAAAGTTGGAAGAGACCTTGGAGGTCATCGAGTCCAACCCCCTGCTCAGGCAGGAACCCAACACCATTTCAGACAAATAGCTGTCCAGTCTCTTCTTAAAAACTTCCAGTGTTGGAGCATTCACCGCTTCTGGAGGCAGGTGGTTCCACTGGTTAATTGTTCTGTCAGGAAGTTTCTCCTTAGTTCTAGGTTGCTTCTCTCTTTGGTTAGTTTCCACCCGTTGCTTCTTGTCCTGCCTTCAGGCGCTTTGGAGAATAGCTTGACTCCCTCTTCTTTGTGGCAGCCCCTGAGAGATTGGAACACTGCTATCATGTCCCCCCTCGTCCTTCTCTTCATTAAACTAGACATACCCAATTCCAGCAACCGTTCCTTATATGTTTTAGCCTCCAGTCCCCTAATCATCTTTGTTGCTCTTCTCTGTACTCTTTCTAGAGTCTCAGCTTCTTTTTTACATCGTGGTGACCAAAACTGGATGCAGTATTCCAAGTGTGGCCTTACTAAGGCATTGTAAAGTGCAGACTAACCAAAGAATAGATGTGAAAAACTGTGTAGTGAGAATTATCTTGCCTTTCCAAGTTTGACAGGCCAAGAATCCATTACAACTCTGAGTCCAATCCAGCATTTGGGACTTCCTCATTCAGATTACCTTCTTTAATAGTCTTATGCCCAAGTAATTCTAATTTTTTATGCAGTATCCAGTGTTATAGGAATTAAAATTCATATTTGGTGAAATATGCTATTAGATGGTGCAGGATTTTATTGAAGCACAATCAATCATTGTTTAAATTATAGCATAATATTTTAGTATACATCAGAAATTTATTGGTAGTTAACTAGTAATAAACTATATATTATGTGAATGACTGTTTAAAAGCCTGGTTAAGTTCTACTTTGGAAATTACCTGTTTTTCACACATACAGTATACTTAATAGATCTGATTTTCTAAGATGATCCAAGATGTCAGTTGAATGTACAACATATACAACAACATTTCAACTAGTGCAGCAGTGTAACTAGCTAACTTAAGAGGCAGTGAATTTCTCATATGTTTTTTATTACAAAGATGACAAAAAAGATACAATAAAAATGGATCCTATGGATTTCAGAGCTGTTTTCACAAAACCTAAAGACAAAAACACGACAAAGTATAAACTGTGATGTAAAGTTTATGTACAGGAATATAAGGTTTATCTGGAATATTTACAAGATTTGTTAAAGTAATATTTTACAACTCTTTTTTCAAATAACCACTACTTTACAGTTAGGCTACAGAAACTAATTTGTGAAGCACAAAACAGAGTACTTCAATTTAGCAATAGCACTTAAGAAATATATGCCGCTTCACAATGCTTTACAGCCTTCTATAAGCGGTTTACAGAGTCAGTATATTACCCCCAACAATCTGGGTCCTCATTTAGCAACCTCGGAAGGATGGAAGACTGAGTCAACCTTGAGCTGGTGAGAATCGAACTGCTGGCAGTCGGCAGAATTAGCTGCAATACTGCATTCTAATCACTGCCCCACCACAGATCTACTAATTTAAAACAATTAGTACTAAGCTTTCTATAAAATATTATGTGCAAATGAGTAATATGTATTTATGGATGTAGTTCTTGCACAAGTAGCACATGCGCATGGATAATTTCTCTATAATGAATAAAACTAGATAGCACATTCCCGATTAGATAAAATTAGGCCTAATATTCAAAGTTAAAACAAGTCATTGTAAGAGCTATAGTCTATAGCAAGCTTCCAATGCAACTATGTATGTTGACAGACGCCAGTCCCATAAAGTGCAGCCACTTCTCCACAAGAAGTGTGCATGAGATTTCAACCTAATGCACACCAAGCTCATGGGCTTTAGAGGCCTTAAACACATATAATTCTGCAGAGGATTTGAGGAAAGAAATTCTCAAGGTATTCTTGAGCTGTTTTTGCCTGTCTTTGAGTCATAATTTCTGTAAGAGTAAACTGTATACAATAAAGTTTGTCTTTTAAAGGCCAGGTAGCAAAATAATCCCCACTTAGTAAAAACTTGGACATTGTTATCTGCCACATTGTGATTCCCACATTTGTTTTTACTTGAACAAAACCAAACTTAACAAGTTGATTCCAGTTCCCAAATGGACACATAACCAATGCAGAAAGGTTAGCCAGACAGAATGTATGATTAGAAATGAGTGTGAATAATTAAAAGAGGATCAAATTACATTTTGCAACAACTCTAAATGACACAGTTTGGAAATAATTATACAGAAGAAAAATTATGTTTGGGGCAACTATAGTTTATTAAATGTACACAATTAGAAGGAGGGGAGTCTCTTTTCTTCTTAAAAGAAGTGGCTCCTTCATGCTGCAGGGCATTTATGGCTGCGGAAAGAAGATGTAAAAGAACTTTAAGGCATGGCGACTAAAGGCGACCAGAGACGCCAACAAATTAGCACTGCAGCTTGCGGATGCTACGTGAAAACCTCTTAAAGGCTCGCTGGCCTTTCTGCCATCGCTTGACGGAGGTGATCACTAACTCCCCAGCCAGCCTCTGTCCCATGACTAAATATGGTGCATTGATATCGTTCATCTCGTCACAGGTACACTGGAGGCCGCCTTTGAGCCAAAGCACCGTCTTCTTCAGGTCCCTCTCCGTCACCCCATTCAGCTTGTAGATGGTTTTGCTCTTTGTCTCCGGAGTGATCTTGGTGTCTCCATTGATGTAGGCGATCTCCTTCACTTTTATCTTTAGAGCTAATAGGGATAGTGGGGGAGCAGAGCAGGGGCGGGGGAGTGGGGTAAAAGAAAGGAAGAGAGAGAAGGAAAGATTTTTTTTTCTCCTCTCATTCTGGCACATAAAGAGAATCCAGCGAGGCAGGTCTTCTCTTGCTAATTAAACTGTCAATTTCTGACAAAATGGTCAGCAGGTGGCTCCATTTCTAAAGGCATCAAGAGCATGAAAGTAATTTCAGTCCGAAATCAATCTTGGGGTGTATTTCTTTCACTTTCAAAGAAAAAAAAATAATGCCTTTGCTAAATGAGCCTCTTCCTCTAGATTTTGTTGGTTGTTTTTGTATGTTAAAGTTTTAAGAATGGCACAAAGCTGAAAGGAGGACGGGGAAACAGCCATCTTCCCATAGGAAAAAGCAATCCCCATTTCTCCTGAAAATAGTTTGGCTTAATTTATAAAACTCATTGGTTGATCAGTGTATTTTGTCTATTGCATTTGAAAGAATGAGCAAAAATAATTGGGTTTTATAGATAAATTAGATTTGGTGCAATAATTGAAAAGAGAGGAAAATAGAATCATGCTTACTAAGAAAAGCCAAACATCTGCTGGTGGATATGTCAGATGAAAACTCAATACTAGTTAATGAATAATAACTCACTGTCTATGCTATTCTTTAATGATAAGGGCATTAATCCCTATACATTTGTGATCACGCTGTAATAAAATAACTATTGCAGTTAGAACATAATAAAATTACAACATGTATTTACCATTTATGCCTGTTAGTTTATCACATTTTACCTGTCTTATTCAGGAGGATTTCCCAAATATTCTTATCCCGAATTGATATATTCTTTGTCTTACCTCTGTAAAGCCATTTTCTGCTTTCTTGACAGCCAATGCTCATTAGTTCCTGGCATTTCAGATTTTCAAAAGACAGATTCATCTCTTTTTAAGAAAAAGATGCCAGTTTCCTACCAATATGGAATGTAAAAAGTTTGCCACAGCTGTTGGGGGCTTGTTGTAAATTAATGTAACAATGCTGTACATTTACAATTGTTATACCAGCTTAAAATCTGAAGTGAAGACTATCAACGTGTTTCTCAGGTTTCCTCTCATATCTTTGTGGTTAGTCTTGTATTCTGGAAAAGTCAGAAGCCATTTCTATTTTACTCTTCCCATGAAGCCCTCCCTCCCTGCTGCATAAGAAGTGGGGACTGGCAGGATAAAACCTGTTTTCAAATTCATAGCAGGACCGAAATCGAGGCCTCCCTCCTTAGTCTCCTTCCTCTGCAGGTGGGCAGAAGGGAAACAGAATGAAACCAAGGCCTCCAGTATTACTATGCCACTGGGCTCCATTTCACATCAGCAACAAATCACAAAATTCAACGCTGTCACATTCATATTATTTATATTTCTGCAACTCTGAAATACCTGATATTGCAGTTTCAGAGGGTAATAAAAAAGATATATATGCCTATATACAACTAGCTGATTCCTGGATTCTATTACTACCTTAGGTCAGGGGTAGGCAACCTTGGCTCTTTTATGACTCGTGGACTTCAAGGAATTCTGGGAGTTGAAGTCCACGAGTCATAAAAGAGCCAAGGTTGCCTACCCCTGACCTAAGGTGACCAAATGTGAAAACCAGTTGGTTTATATAGACCAGGGGTAGTCAACTTTGGCTCTTTTATGACTCGTGGACTTCAACTCCCAGAATTCCTGAGCCAGCACAGCTGGCTCAGGAATTCTGGGAGTTGAAGTCCACGAGTCATAAAAGAGCCAAGGTTGACTACCCCTGATATAGACAGAGGTACTGGAATTAGAATCACTGGTAAAACTATTGAGAACTAAACCAGTTTCTGTTGTCAGCTATGGGACAACCAATACCCATGAAGGAGAACAGGATTTCCCCCCCTCCCCCGCAATTCAAGCATCATCAAGATTAGTTTGGACTTCCAGCTAAGAAAGCTTTAGAATCCCATTTCTTTCTACCTAGGAAGGAGTTGAGGCCACAGTGGACAATGTTGTATAGAAAAGAGAACAACCACAGAAAGGCCAGAGCACACATGTTTATTACAAAGAGCAGTTCTAAACAACCTCCTAGTCTGATAGACTAAATAGAAACCTAATCATAATCCCATGATTAGGTGAATTAGGATCCACTGTTGAAATAAAAGCTTAAATGCATTTGCCAATTAAAACTGACCACAACTTCCTTTCTTACAACACTGATTATTATTGCAATCAGAGAACAAAGCCCCCAGTTTTCAATCAGAGTATCTCCCTCATACTTACCAAAGTCATTTTTGCAAAGGTTTTCTACAATTTCGTTGTCATCTTCATTCTTGTTTTTGCAGGCGTCACAAACTTTTGGCACTGCAAGGAGTAAGTTTTAAAAAGAACTTTAGAGGACTTTCAAAAGCAAGTAGTGGGGGCCATTTGGAAAGAAAGGACACCCTTTTAATATGTAATTATGGCAACGACAGGCTTTCTTATTCTTGGCTCTATTTCATGAGAGCCTGAAGGACTATATTTTAGAGCATCTGGAGCCTGAGATACCTAATCAATCCCACTGGCCATTTAAAAACAACTGAAGAAAAAATAGATAGTCATACTAAAGAGATATCATCACAAGTTCAACGGAAACGCTGAGTGGAATATTGAACCATGGATACAGATGGATTCTGAGTGGGATTAAAGTCTCTCCCTGACACCCCTACACACTAGGACCTCCAGAGAGAAGAAATTAATGTCCTGGTGGAAGAGCAGGGGGAGACTTAACCATCTTCAGGAAAGAACAAGGAGCAATGAAAAAGTGCATAAAATGCATTTTCCAATGAGTCTTTCTCAGGAAATTGCCCTTCTCCAAGTCCATTATTTTTTTTTAAAAAAAAAACACTTGGGAGAATGTCATCTTCCCCATCCCCAAGTTAATTAAAGCCACATTTTCGAACACTAAACTGATACTAGCTGAAAGCTCTTACTTTTAACAATGAAAAATCAGTAATATGAAAGTATTGCGTCTGTTATCAATATTTTTATCAGGTTCTTCCTCTTCTTCCTCTCTTTAACATTTTTCCCCTCAGAATTTCCTGTTACCTTTTATCCTCCCCCCTTTAAAAAAAAAATACCTGCATAAAAGTTCATTGGCTAGTTGACGTGGAAATAACTTACTCTACTGATTAATGTTATCATTTTCCTAGGAAAACAGTTACCGTATAACAGTTCCGTAATTACAATATTCAATAAGCCGAAATGTACAAGCAATATTCCAAGTCATAGTGCAACTTCAGAAATAGAAGCTCACAGATCCCAGATCTGTGTAATAGGGTTGTTTAAAGCTATCGTCCTATATAGTACACGCTTAGTTTAAATAAGCTCTTATCAGGATCCTAATCCTGTCCTAGCCTAAACTTGTTCTTAAGAATGTTTATTCAGGATTCCCCAGTTTAACCTTCCACAGCTTAAAATTCATAAGGTCTACAGTTGCAGTCCTAGGGGATTACTTTGAATAAATTTGCTTAAGAACAAGTTTAGGAGAGGAGAGGATGTGGATAGGACAATTTTAAACACCCATATCTAAATCTTACTGAATCCAATCTAGCTTCATTCTGGTAAAGAGACTGCACTGAACTTTCCAAATCTGGGAAAACAAAATCTAAAATTGTTTTGGTTTCTATCATTAAAGGTGTCTTGCAAATCATTTTTTTTTTTTGGTGCTGGGGTACTTTTTTGCTGTATGAAAATTTGAGATGCGATGTTCTAAAGTTCTTAGAAACGAATTTACATTACATGCTGTAAAGTTCATTTTATTTCTCCAAATTTATATCTGTGACGGAAAAAAACATGATAGGTAGAAAGTTGATACTTTATCCTTTTAAAAGACATTACAAACAATGTATTCTCAGCAAACTTATTCTCCCTATGCCTTCCACTGAGATGCTTAGGGTGGCAGCCTAAGACTGCAATCCTATTCATGTAATGGAAGGAGATCCTTGAATGATTTCTACCCAAGTAAATGTGCCCCAAATCATTGCCTCAAAATATGCCCCAAATAACCATTTACTTCAAAAGAAAGCCGCTGAACGTAGACGAGCTTCTAATTCGATATAAAAAAAGACCAATTGCAGAGGAATCCATCCTGTACACGAATTCTACTTTGATGCTCTGAAGATTTATGATAAAGTACAGTCTAAAGCAGGGGTAGTCAACCTTGGCTCTTTTATGACTCGTGGACTTCAATTCCCAGAATTCCTGAGCCAGCTTAGCTGGCTCAGGAATTCTGGGAGTTGAAGTCCACGAGTCATAAAAGAGCCAAGGTTGACTACCCCTGGTCTAAAGCTTATCAGGAGAGACTTTCGGATTTACTTCCAAGAGAGGGCTGGCGCGACGGCCCCATTGCTCAACCTGCCCAGCCGCTCTTACCTTCTCTAGGGGTCGGGAGGACGTGGTCGCTGCTAGCCAGGGGGATGCACAGGTCGTTGTCCTGGGGAAAGCGGCTGCAATCCAGCATGTCGGGCCAAGGGAAGCCGAAGGCGGACATCACCGGGGCGCAGCTGTTCTTCACCTGCTCGCAAAGCGAATGGCAGGGCTCAATGGTTTCGTCCAAGTCGACGATGCAGACGGGCGCGAAGAGGGAGCAGAGGAACTTGCGCGTGTCCGGGTGGCACTGCTTCTGCACCAGCGGGATCCAGGCGCCCGCCTGCTCCAGCACCTCCTGCACCGTCTCGTGGCCCAGCAGGTTGGGCAGCCGCATGTCGGGGTACTCGATCCCGCGGCACAGCAGCAGCGAGGCGGGGATGGGCTTGCAGTTGGACCGCTTGTAGGAGAACTCGGGCTCCCCGAAGAGGAAGAGCCCGCCGGCCGGGCCGAGGCAAGCCGCGGAGAGGCAAAGCAGGCGCGGGAGAAGCTCGCCGGGGCGCATCTTGCCGAGGGGCGCGGAGGGGAAGCGCGCGCGCGCTCTGAGCGGGGCCTCGTTCGGGAAGCCCCCCGAAGCTGCCGGGAGAGGCGGAGGGAGCGACGGGCGGCGCAGAGCTCTCCCCTCCCGCCGGCCGGCCACGCGCGGCTTCCCCCGAAGCGCTCCCGCTGCTCGACGGAGGCGCAGCCCGCCACTCTCCCCGCCGGAGCTCCTGCGGGCATCCTTTATGCAAATGGAGAAGGGGATTGGGAGGGCAAAGGGGCGGGGCTGTCGGACGAAAAGGCGGCGTGGGATTGGTCATCGCTTTCGCGAGGGTCGTAACGGCTTCGTTTTTCGGGGGGGGGCGAGTGGGGAGGGGGAGGAGCCCTGGCCGAAGGGACCTTCTCGACGCGCCTCCCCGAAGCCGCTGCCTCGGAAGGAGCCCGGACGGCGCTGCTTCAGGTTGCGTCGCGGGACTGAGAGCGGGCGGCCCTGCGGGGTTCGTTCTCCCATCACAAAACTTCTTGCCCGGCTGCCAAACAGGGAAGCGCCGCCGGGGAGAAACAGAAATGTTGTGTCTTTCGCTACGGCCGGCGGTCTTGGCGCCCCTCGGGAAGAGAAAAGCTCGGGCTTGAAGTCAGAGAGGCTACAAGCACGCCGTCGCCGTTGCGCTCGGCAATCTCTCCCTCCCTCCCTCGCGCTCTCTCTCTTCCTCCTTCCTTCCTTCCCTCTCTCTCTACCTCCTCCTCCCTCTGTCTCTCCCTCTCTCTCCTCTCTCTCTCTCCCACTCCCTCCCTCCCCCTTCTCTCCCTCCTTACTTCTCTCCCCCCTCTCCCTCCCTCCCTCTGTATGTCTCCCTCCCTCTTCTCTTCCTCCCCTTCTTTCTCTCTCTCCTTCTTTCTCCCTCTCTCCCCCCCTCTCTCCCCCTCCCTCTGTATGTCTCCCTCCCTCTCTCTTCCTCCCCTTCTTTCTCTCTC